CAGGAAGGCCTGGCCGTGGCACTCAGTGCTCTGGGCTGGGGGACAAGGTGGGGATGGGGCCCAGGGTGGATCCATGGGCTGGGAGGGCTTTTCCAGCCTCAGGGATCCTGGGATCACACTCCTGAGCACAGAGTGCAGGGTCCCCTGGACCTCTGGTTTGTTGGTGCCCTGACCTGGCTGGTGCAGCCACACCCCCCCTGCAACAAGCGATTAAAAACTCCCCTTTAATCTGCATCAGGAGAGATGAAATCCGAGTGGGAGATGCCCTGCTCAGAGCAGGAATAGCTGCAGCTGTCGCAGCACATCCCAGCAAGAAATCCAGGGAAAAAATCCCACGTCGCTCCGGCGATGTTCCCGCCGGGATTGCCGTGTCTGTCCCCACCGAGGGACAATCCCTGCCGGGGAGGGGACACGGAGCACACCCAAAGCAGCACCTCTGAGAAACCTGAGGCTGATTCCCGTGGAATTCCAGAGGAGCTAAAATAGCAGAGAGCCAAAGCGGAGAAATTGGGTTGCAATTGGCTCCTTTTAGAAGTCCTTGAGCTGTCATTCCCCGCCCACGGCAGCGGCTCAGCCCGGCACAGGCAGTTTGACTTCATGATAAAAATCACTACTGCCAGCGAGGAGGGAGCTGCAAAATAAGCAGGGGTTGGTTGGGTGGTTGGGTGGATTTTTGGGGGGAGAAAAGCTCCGTGGCATTTGCATATTCCATATTCCACAGCTGCTTCAGATTCCCGGGGACTCGTGAGGAAAAGATCAAAAGATTTCTCGTGTTAGAGCTAAAAATTCCCCGAGATGAAGGTAGTTGGTTAACCCCCGCCTGGCTCCGAGGGAAGCGGGATGGGAGGAATATTTCCACCAAAATGGGAAGAAGTGCATTGCAGTGGGGAGGCTGGGAGGGAAGATAATCCCTGTCAGACTTCCAAGAGAGCTGCCACACCATCTGCTCCGGCAGCAGGAGTTGGAAACGCTGGAGAGGCTGCAGAGCCACCCAGGCTCTTCCCGGAGCGAATTCCAGGGGATGTAGACAGGTGGTTTGGCAGGGATGGAAGGGGGAGGGTCCCCAGGGCTGTGGGGGGAAGATGCCCCATCGTGCCCAGGTGCTGTCATGGTGTTCAAATTGACATCGGGGATCATCATGGAATGGGTTGGGTGGGAAGGGACCTTAAGGATCATCTCCTGATGTTCCACCCCTGCCATGGGCAGGGACACCTCCCACCAGTCCAGGTTGCTCCAACCTGCCCTTGGACACTTCCAGGGATCCAGAAGCAGCCACAGCTTCTCTGGGCAACCTGTGCCAGGGCCTGCCCACCCTCAGTGAAAACACCTCCTTGGATGCCAAGTGTCTCCTGCTCGGACAGACTGGGGGGGTGTGCCAGTCCTGGGCACCAGAGGATGGAGATGTTCATCCCTGGGCACCAGAGGAGGGAGATGTTCATCCCTGGGCACCAGAGGAGGGAGATGTTCATCCCTGGGCACCAGAGGATGGAAATGTTCATCCCTGGGCACCAGATGAGGGAGATGTTCATCCCTGGGCAGCAGAGGATGGTGATACTCTCCCACTTTCCAATTCTGGACACAAGGGAAGCTGTGAAATTTAACACCCTCCTGTTGCCAGGGCTGGGTTTGGGAGCTGCTCCTCCATCCCTGCTGCTGGAAAGCAAGGCTGGGAGCAGAGGGGTGGGCCCTGGATGGAGCCACCTCATTAGCCAGCCCCAATTAATGCAGAGGCAGGTTCTCCCAGGGATTTAAGGCTGTTATGGCAACAGGCCCAGAGGCATCATGGAAAGGCTTTGTGTTTTCCTGGGAGATTAGTAATGCATGGAGCTTGCTGGCAATGGCAGGGGGGGTTGCCAGGAGCCAGGCTGCACCTGGGAGCACAATCCCCACTGCAGAGCAGGCCCTGTGGGTGCTGGGGGGCAGGACTGGTCCTTACTGGGCCCTACTGGTGGCCGGAGGCTCTGTTTGGACTCCAACTCTTTATTCCCGTGTGTGTCGACCTCCATTTTTGATCCCTGTTGCTCCTTTGGAACTGTGTGTGTGTCCCACTGCTCTGGGGATGGTGTGTGGTGTTTTAGGGAAGCTGAGAGCCCAGATTCCATGGAAAACAGCCAAGGGATGAGTCTGTTTATTGGTCACTGAGGTTTAACCTTCCCGGGGATGGATCAAGAGCGGGGGGAGGATCCAGCGGCAATGGGGGATCATTCCATTTGGGACAGAGAGGTGCTGCCTTTTCCCAAGGGTCATTCCCACCTCCCCCATCCCTGTGAGGGCCTGGAGTAGCTCACAAGGTTCCACATCCATGAGGTCTGGGGGAGTTGGGAGCACTGGGTGCCAGGATGGGAAGGACTCAGACACCCTGTGTTTTCCTGGGGCACAGGGAAGAGCTGGATTGGGATCCAGGAATGAATCACAGAATCCTGGAGTGGTTTGGGTGGGAAGAGAATTTAAAGCCCATCCAGTCCCACCCCTGCTATGGACAGAGACACCTTCCACCAGCCCAGGTTGCTCCAAGCTCTGTCCAGCCTGGCCTTGGACACTTGCAGGGATCCAGGGGCAGCCACAGCTTCTCTGGGCAACCTGGGCCAGGAGGGTCCTCTGGTGTCCCTCCCTCTCTGCTCGGGGAGAGGCTTCATTCTGTCCCTGTGGTTGCATTTAAATATTGGTGGGGAATGTCCTTCTCTCCTGGACACTGTTCTGTACAGAACTGGGAGGGGTGGAGGATGTGAACAGGAGAATTCACATAATCCTGACACAACCTTGTCTGGCATCTGGTGAGGGCCTGGCACAGGCTGCCCAGAGAAGCTGTGGCTGCCCCTGGATCCCTGGAAGGGTCCAAGACCAGGTTGGATGGGGATTGGAGCAACCTGGGCTGGTGGAAGGTGTCCCTGCCCATGGCAGGGGTGGCACTGGATGGGCTTTAAGGTCCCTTCCCACTGGGATTCTCTAGGGAAGAACTTCTGTCCAGGTGACACTGCCACAGGCTGCCCAGAGAGGCTGTGGAATCTCCTTCCCTGGAGATATTCCCAAGCCATCCAGACACATCCCTGAGTAACATGCTCTAGGGACCCTCACTGGAACAGAGGGCTGGACAAAATGACCTCTGGTGGTCCCTCCCAGCCTCCCCCATTCCGTGATGACTCTGAGCTCAGTGCTCCAGGGAATCCTGCCCAGATCCAAGGAGCACTGCCAAGGGCTGGGGAGAGCGAGGCCTGACTCAGCTGCTCCTCACTGGCAGTGGCTGGAAAGCAAGGGCTGGCTGGGAGGGCTGGGCAGCTCTGCCCATCCCTGTGTCTCCCCTGCCTCCTCAGGCAGGAGCTGCTGGTCCAGGCTGGGCTTGGTGTGCCCAGGATGCTGCTGGATGTGAGCCCAGCTGTGCCCAGGGGGCAGGAGGCCAATGGCCCCGGGGCTGTGGCAGCCCCAGCGTGGGCACA